TCAGGGAACCCTCTTGGAGCGTCAGGGGCGCGCGCGATTTGGGCCGTCTGGGAGCCTTCGTGGAGCGCCTCAGGGGAGTGAAGGGCCGTCTGGAGCCGCGGACTTCTGGAACTCCTTTTCCGGCGGCTCGGGCGCGACTCGGTGCCCTGTTGGGCTGTCCTGGAAACGTCTTGAAGCGGCTTTGGGGCCTCTTGGATGCTCTGGGCGCCCCTGTAGGTAGCCATACCACAACCAACGGAAAACCGCAATGTTGCCTTTTGGGGCCCTCGGGAGGTGCCGTTAGAGAACCCTCTTGGAGCGTCTGGGGGTCTGGGAGTGACTTCCTGTCGACTCCGGAGCGACTCGGTGCCTTGATGGGCTGTCCTGAAGGTGTCTTGGGGCGGCTTTGGGGTCTCTTGGGTGCTGCCAGCGCCCCTGGGTTCGGAGGCAACTACTGGGAGGTCTTCGTCGGAAGGATTAAGGAGGACTAATTCCCGTTGGGGGGCTGTTACGCTGGAGTGGGCCTCGGATTAAGTGGGATTAAGCCGGATTAAACGGGATTCAGCGGACTAAGCCAGATTAAGCGGGATTACACCGGATTAAGCCAGATTTCAAACCAGGGCTAAATCAGAATTTGACCTCCCAGGAGTTGCATCCGAACCTGGGGGGGAGCCCCTGAAACCGTCTTGAAGCAGGTGGTGGTGCTTCTGGGGCCAGGTTGGAGCATCGGCACGCCGAAAAGGCAGAACCCCCCAGGGAAATCAATGATCTATGCTTCTTCTGGCCGTGGTGGAGGCCGTCAGGGAACCCTCTTGGAGGGTCTGGGGCGGTTTGGGCCGTCTGTGAGCCTCCGTGGAGCGACTCAGACGTTGAGGGCCGAGTGGAGACGACCGCGGGCGTCTGGAACCAATTTTCTAGAGGCTCGGGCGCGACTCGGTGCCCTGTTGGGCTGTCCTGGAAGTGTCTTCTGGCGGCTTTGGGGCTTCTTGGATGCTCCCAGCGCCCCCGTGGGTAGCCCCCGTCTTGAAGCGGGTGGCGGTGCTTCTGGGGCTAGTTTGGAGCATCGGCAAGCCGAAAAGGCAGAAGCCCCAAACACCACCAAAAACCGATTGGAAACACGTGAAGTTTGCATCTTGGGACCCTCTTGGAGCCGTCTGGGAACCCTCTGGAGCGTCCGGGAAGCGTTTTGGGCCGTCTGGAAGCCTCCGCGGAGCGCCTTGGCAGAGTGACCTACATACCTACATACCTACATACCTACATACCTACATACCTACATACCTATATACCTACATACCTACATACCTACATACCTACATACATACATACATACAAACATACATACATACATACATACATACATACATACATACATACATACATACATGCATGCATACATACATACATACATACATACATCCATCCATCCATACATTCATTCATACATACATACATGCATACATACATACACACATATGTGCAAACACATAAAGTAACACTGTACAACTATACATGTTATATATGTACAACTGTACATATACACTCATATACACATGTATGCCCATATACATGTGCACATCGATGCATGTATACATATACATACATGTATACGTGTACGCAACCATACATATATATACATATATATATATACACATGCACACAGGCATATATACATATAGACATTTCTACCCACATACATCAGTACACATATACACATCTACACATATACACAGAACGCTATAAACATATGTATGTGCACACTCGTACATACAAGTGTACATAGGTATATAATACTTACAGACAAGCGATGATGGCAGTGGCAACGACTGCCCCAACAGCTGCAAGGGCTGCAGACTGCAGAGCATCGATCGTGCCTGCGCCATCCAAGCATCGACAGGCCACCACTCCAGCAGCAATTTGAAGCTCTGCCCGCACCCATCCCAATGAAGGCCCTAATCCTGGGGACGACGGGCAACAAACAACCGGAAGGAGTATGCGGGGAAATACTTTTGCAAAGATGGTCGCGAGGCAAGACGGCGCAAGGCTGCCCTGCCAGCTCCCGCGCTGCTGCCCCCGCGCTGCATCACGCCGGTCGGGTCAGTCAAGAGAGGGCCATGCCACCGCCGCTCGCGATGCAGGTCCATGCGCCTGGCCCGCCCACTGCGAAGGGACTCCAGGTTGCTCAGAGTCCGATGCGGCCAGGGTTGAGTACCCTGGCGGTCTTGGCGTTGTTACGGGTCACCTGGTGGCGCACAGGCAGGCCCTTCTCCATACGGATTGCCCTCTCATGGTTGACCGACTTCAGCAACTTAATGTTTGCAGTGATCATCCTGCGCAGCGGGTTCTCCACCGTCCACTTGGCGTACTCGTCGACGAGCCTGAGCTCCTCATCCTCGCTGAGCTGGAAGGTCCGCTTGTTCGGGTCGATTCCAATCTGGTGGCAGATGTGCTTGCAGGACTTGATCCCCGTGCCGAATATCGCGCAATTCAGCGCGTAAGCGATGGGCTTGTTACGGGGGATCTC